TATGGTTGTTTTTTGTGGTTTTTTTTTTTTTTAATTGTTTTTTTTTGGTGTGTGTGTGTGTTTTTAAATTATTTATTATTATTTTTATTATTATTATTTTAACTTTGCTATAGGGCGCATGAGCTCACCAAAAGAGAGACAGAGAAAATGAGAAAGGAAGGTGCCAAGTCTGGTATCCGAACCGCAGTCAGCCACATGGGAGTCCAGGACCTCAACCACCACGCCACCTGCCAGCCCCTCTACTTTTTTTTTTTCATTTTTTAATTTTACTTTCTTTTATACATGCACTTATATTATTACAAAGTGAATATTTCAACAGGTGAACATTTCTCCCTAGTCCAGTTGATAAAACTATAAAATATCTTTAACAGATAATACCACCTTTAATTTTATTTATTCACTCATTTATTTTAATTTGACCAGAGAGGAACACAGGAAGAGAAAGAGGGAAAGTGAGAAAGCAAACCACCAGGTCCAGGACTTGACGTGTTCAGCCATGTAGGAGTGTCCAGCGTCTTAACCACCACGCCACCTGCTGGCCCGACCAGTATGAGTTTTAAGCCACCAGGTCTGGGACTCAAACCTCAGGCGACTATGTGGGAGTCCAGTGATACAGCATTATGCCCTCTATTGGTCCCAAATGAATAATTCTTTGGAAAAAAAAAGAGAACTATAAAGGAAAAGGACAATGAATTATACTTAATGTATGTTTCTTCCTACCTTCTGAAATCTTTCTGACTTTTCCTGTCTTTTTTTTTCTTCTTTTCCCCTCCCCCCATACCTGTGATGCACAAAATACTTTCATTATTTCATGTGTTGTGTTGTGCTGCCTCCTTTGACCAACACATTAGAACCTAGGTCTCTTCCCAGTCGGGACTCTGCTAGATAGTGATCGTCTAGATGAGGGAAAAAGGCAAAACAAAACTGGGCACAGGACAGCCAGGAGTCACAAATGTGACTGCCAATATAAAAAAGTTTCCTGTAAGAGGAACATCCATTCACAGGTTAGGAATTAGACATCTACCAAGGTAAAAATGCATGCTGTGAAAGGTACACTATAAACATCTACTGTTTCTGAGTCTCCATTACGGCAGGGCTAGAGTTACAACCAGTCTCCAGAGTGTGGCCTCAAAGCCAAATTAGAGGAGAATATAATGCCTTTTAATATGCTTAATGCGGTTGTTAGTTTTTGTTTTTGTTTTGTTTTTTTCCTTTTGAGAGAGATTTTTGCTATAGAGCACATGTGCTCACTGGAGAGACAAAGAGACAGCAAAAAAACAGCCCTGGGGGGATGAGCAAGCCGCAATCCCTTCTCCTCCATTCACTTCTCAGGATTGCATACACACACACACAGCGTTGAGTTTTAAGCCACCAGGTCAGGCACTCAAATAGTGGTCAACTATGTGGGAGTAGCAATATTGGTTTGTTAGTATTTTGGTGAAGATTTTGGTATAAATATTGGTAATGGCTATTGACCTATAATTTTCTTTCCTTGCAACCTCCTTTGGCCTTGTTATCATGGTAGTTTGCCTCTGAAAATGTTAAGAAATGTTAATCTTCAATTTTTTGGCAGATTTGGAGAAAGGTTGGTCTTAATTCTTTGAATATTTGGCAGAATTCAGCAGTGAAGCCACCTGCATATGATCCAGGGCTTTACTTTTGAGATTTTGAATCCTGATTAAATCTCCTTACTACTTATAAATTTGTATGTTCATATTTTCTACATCTTCATGAATTGGTCTTTGTTGGTTGTTTACAGCTAGGTTAATCAATTGTTGGTATACAGTTGTTTCTAATAGTCTCTTATAATTCTTTTTATTTTTTTAAATTAGTAGTAGTGTTTCCAATTTCATTTCCAATTGTAGTAACTTGAATCTTTTCTGTTATGACTTTTCTGAAAACCCAATAATAAAGTACCCCAGGTCCCTTTTGGTTACTGTTTTCATGGAATACTTTCTTTTATCCTTTAACTTTCTCTCTCTCTCTCTCTCTGTTTTTTTATTTTGGTTTTTTTTTTTAGAGGTTTTCACTATAGGGTGTGTGCGCTTGCCAGAAAGACAGAGACAGACAGACAGACAGTGAGAAATCACCCCTCCGGGGGGATGGCCACATTGCAATCTCTTCTATTCCATTCTCCTCTTGGGCACACACACATGCACACACACACACCCAGCATGAGTTTAAGTCACTAGGTCCAGGACTCGAATCACAGTCAGCAACATAGCCATTATGCCAACTGCTGGTCCCTCCATCCTTAACTTTCTTTTTTTAAAAAATAATTATGTTTATTTTATTTATTTATTATTATATATTAAATTTGACTAGAGACAGAGAGAGAGAGAGAGAAAGGGAAAGCGAGAGAGAAAGGACGCATGAGAAAGCAACCACCAGATCCAGGACTTGAACCGTGGTAAATCTTGTGGGAGTCCAGCACCTTAACCACCACGCCACCTGCCAGCCCCCAACCTTTAACTTTCAATCTGTGTATGACTTTAGGTATCAAGTGCTTTTCTTATGGATGACATGTAGCTGGATATTACTTTTTTAATCCCTTGTGTCAATCTCTGGCCTTTAATTGAAGAATTTAATTCATTTACACTTAGAGCAATTACTGATAGGGATACACTTCTGTCATTTTGCCATCTATATTCTGTGTGTCTTATGGTTGTTTTTGTTTGTTTGTTTGTTTGTTTTTGGTTCCTTCTTTCCTCCATTACAGTCCACTTTTATGTTTAGTTGTTTTTGGTTTTTTTTAGTGTCATGTTTTCTTTTTATAATTTTTTTTTTTTTTGGAGAGGTTTTTTCGCTATAGGGCGCGTGCGCTCGCCAGACAGACAGAGAGAGACATAGAGACAGAAAGCAAGAAATCACCCCCCAGGGGGGATGGTCACGCCGCAATCCCTTCTCCTCCATTCTCCTCTTGGGATCTTGGGCACGCACGCACACGCGCCCGGCGTGAGATTTAAGCCACCGGGTCCGGGACGCGAACCGCGGTCGACTACGTGGGAGTCCAGCGACATAGCCATTACGCTAACTGCTGGTTCCCTCTTTTTATAATTTTTTGTGGGGGTTTTTTTGTTTTGTTTTGTTTTTACCAGCAAGTGTTTGTACTTGCCAGGGAGAGAGAGATAGGTAGAAAGCATCCCATTATAGGTCAT